GATAGACAGCAAACTAATATAACCTCTCTGGAAAGAAAATGTGGAAAATCTTTAAAAATCTCAAATTAAACCTCCCCTTTGATCCCACAATCTCACTACTAGGCATCTACCCAGAAGAAAAAAAAAATCTTTTATCATAAAGACATTTGCATTAGACTATTTATCACAGCTCAATTTATAATCGCCAAGATGTGGAAACAACCTAAATGCTCATGAACTCAGGAATGGATTAATAAACTGTGGTATATGTAGATCATGGATTACTGTTCAGCCATAAGAAAAGATAGTGACTTTACATCTTTTGTATTAACCCAAACAGAGATGAAACACATTCTTCTTAGTAAAGTATCATAAGTACGCAAGAGCAAGTATCCATTGTACTCAATTTTATTATGAAGCCAGTAGACAATGCAACACATGGCCACATAGGAGAAAAAACTTAATTCTGTTCAAATTGAGGGAAGGGGGAATAAGACTGAGAGGAAGGGGAATTGGTGTGCTCCAATTTAAAGGGCACAACGTAGAGGGGTATGGCACACCTTTTGGATGTAGGACACAACTACAAAGGGATTCTACCAAAAAAAAGATCAAAAATTGTGACCTGGTTGTTTGTACCCTCACAATAATCTGAAATAAAAAAAGTGGAGTTACCACCCTTATAATGCATATAAAAGGCCAGAGAGCTAGTCCTCTCTCTTTCAGCCACATGAGGGTCCAATAAACTATCTAGTCTATCGTATTCTGTTATAGCAGTCTAAGGTACCCTCAAAATATAGCTATTTTACCAATACAACTAAAAGTTTTCTGTTCTATCTCATGCTTATTCTTGTGTATCAATTGATCTACAAATTCTGCTGAGAATCCTGTGATATACAGGTGTTTTTGTCATGCATATGCATACAGCATGATTCTCCATTGGTTAACCAAGAGCCATTGCATTTGATAAGCCCCACTCATACCAATGATTGCTCCACTTTCTCAATCTAATTTCTTCTTATTTACAAATTTCACCTACAGAATTCCCACTTGTGAATACCAAATACCAACTATTGTTTTTAATGTAGGTTTCCTAAAGTTTGGCCAGAATTGTATATATCTAATGTGTAGCATAGATGATAATGAATATGCTAATTAATTTGATTGTGCTAATCATAAAGTAATGTATATGAATATCAAATCATCACAGTTTATACTTTATTATCTGTAAGCTGTTTCAAGTAAACATTTTTAAAAATGCAAAATCAAAATGAGCCACATTAAATATTACTTTTATTACAGTTTTTAAGAAGGAAAAGAAAAATGACAGTTCCTGCTATCATTTGAAATATAGAAAAAGTATAGAATTCATATTTTTAGAAATCCATATGAAGGTCAAGTTTGTGATGAAGTCTTAACTATTAGCTTTCTTTTATACACCTGCAATTAATATTTTAATCTTATAGAAAAATTAATGAAATTCAAACATACTAACTGGGATTATAAAGTTAGCTTTTTCTAATCTGAGTAGTGCCTAATTATTTTTTATCCTTCTGTCTCTTGATCCCCTACACAGAACATCTATGTAAAGCTAACAGCATTCCCCAGGGATTAGACCTTGTATTCTGTTAATGTCTTGAAATATAGAGATATGTTAACTTCAGGGACTTATTTCAGCATGATCTTAACTCAGTCCCTTACCTGTTCTCCAGAGCAAACAGCAAATGTGTTTTCAAGTGTCAGGCAGAAGCAAGGGAAACCCAGGCATCTCTACTTCAATGACAGCCCAAGGAGATCCTTTTCTCTACTGCAGGTTCTATAGAGACTGATGAAATCCTATCATCAAACAATTCAGAATAATGAAATATGGGTGAATTTGACTGGTTAAAAAACAGATTGATGTTTTATTTTTATTCCTTCTCTGGAAGACTAAAGTTTTCATCATCTTTGGATAATGTCTTTTATTTGCACTCAGGAAAGACTTCAGTCTCTTAAGGATATTATCTTTCCATTTGGACAAGTCCTTCTGAGTTTTCTTCCTTTCTTAAAGGTGAGATCACTTATTACTATTTCATCATTTCTAAGAAAATATGACATTGCTACTTCTAGAAATTTACCTAACTTTAATTGCAAGTACCTGTGTCAAAAAAATATTTAACATAAGAGGAAATAATGATGAAGTAGTTAATATTTTGCTGTAGTCCTTCCTCCATGTTAAACTGATTAGTTCGAGTTTCAGATAATCAGGAAAACTAATGGGTTAAGAGTATGAATAAGAACCATATTCTCTTCATTGGAATCTTGGTCTCATACAACCGGTTATGTATGCTTGGTAAGTGGTTATACTATCTGTATAGTACAGTGGGGCTAAAAGTAGAACCCATCTCATATAGTTTTGTGTCAATTGAATGAATTAATCCAAACAAGGTAATTTTAGAATCTGAAATATGCAAACAACAATACTAATTACATAACAACATAGCTAATAGTTATTATAATATGCCTGAAACTGTTATAATTCAAGGGAAATGTTGTGTTTGCCAGCTCCTAACAATTCAGCTAAAGGAATGTGGGATTTAAAGGTATTCACTACTGTCTGATTACAGTTGACTGTAATTGTTAGTTTAGTTTCTCATCTCAAGACAGTTGTCCTCAAACATTTTAATATGTATTATATTTAAATCAAACATCATTCTACAAAAGCATCTTACATACACATTTGTACATAAGCATTACATTTTTAATTATAAAATGTAGTGAGGCATTGTTTTGTGGAAGACATGGATATTTTTAATGAACTTAGAGCTATTAGATAACCATTATTTTAATCAAAACTACACACACAGCTAAAGAGGGTGTCCAAGAGGCATAGCAGCAGCAGCAGTCCCCGAAAGGCCTGCATACTGTAAGAAGAGGCTCTTCTTGCCTTCTGGTTGCAATCACCTTCCTTTAGAAAGTAGGCAAGCTTTACCTGGACACCTTGCAGCCTTTCAAGGCTGGCAGTTATGCCAATGGTGATTCCCTATTGCTGTCATTTCATGAAGAACCATATGAAAGTCCTCCACTTTTGTTTATTTAAGAGGAACTACTGTCTTTGAAGAAATCTAATAGAACAGGTTATATTTAAAATATAATAAAATACTTGATATACAATTTATGTATAAAAGCTACATATAAAGTTTCAGTAGCAGCTTCCTAAAAGAAATATAAATATAAATATATACACTAGAGGTCTATATATTTATGATACAAAATATTAGTGCTAATAGTGATTCATTTTTTAAAAATGAGATTATACCAAAGTAAGAGCTTCTTTCCTATGTTTTCAGCAAATACATTCATTCTGGCAACATTTAATGTACAAGTTACTCTTTGTGTCAATTAGCTTTTGAATTCATACCAAAAGAAAACTATGTATACAAAAAAGCCTTACAATAAAAAAATCTTTAAAAATATTTTTACAACTTTCCAAAAAATAACTTTCTTAGACATCATTACCTCTCAGGCTATACTCTTTCCTTAATTAAAGTCACATAATTTGGAGATATACACAGTGTTTTGGGTGTGTGCTGGTGCAAAATTGTGCCTTCAATGTACCCATCTCTAAGGGGAGAGGACAATGGGTATGTTAAAGAAAAAAAAAAATCATTTTCCTAGACATTGTTTGGAAGAAACTACATAGCCCCATTTGAGGTTGCAAGTTTGTATTTCTGCCTGAGATGTGGCTCTTTCAAGGTATCCATGAACAAAAACATTTGTGGCTCCTTAATATTTTGAAATTAAGAAAATATTATAAAAAATAGAAAAGCAAATAAGTGAAATAACTCACTACTTACAATAAGAGAACTTAATATTTACCTTTTGGGTTGGAGATTGGATCAGAAATAAGTTTAATTTTTTTTCTTCTAAAAAGTATGCCTTCTATTTTTTTCTTTGCAATCACATGAATAGCACAGATTACTTAAATTAGAAAGGGAAGAAGGAAGGAAGGAAGGAAGGAAGGAAGGCAGGCAGGCAAGCAAAGAGAGAAAGGAAGAAAAGGGAAGAAATTAAGGAAGGAAGGGAAGAAAGAAGACAGCCGGAAGGGAAGGAAGAAGACTATAGCAAGGGAAGGAAGAGAGAAGGAAGGAAGGAAAAGAAAGGGAAGAGAAGGGAAGGACAAAGGAAGAAAGAAAAATTCCTTCATAATTTCACCACCTAGAGATAATTGACAATAATAACATGTGGGTGTATTTTTTATATGCACAAAAACTGAATTATATTGCTCTGTAACTTGCCAGTTTCACTTAACATTATGAAGCATGTTATTGAATATTCCTCTATGATATCATGGAAATGAGTCTAAATTAACATGTATTTTCATTTTCCTCTAAATTACAAAGCATACACAACACATCTTTGAAAGTAAGCAGATGTGTACATTCAAAGGAGCTTCTCCTCTCTGCAGTGCAAACAGGGAAATGGCAAGCATGTGGGGGAGCAGGCTAGAGTATCTGAAACCTGCATTCATCTCTGCCATTACTCATCTTGAGAATTTGACAAACTCACTGCAGTCCTCTGGTTTCATATAAGACATCTTCAAATGACTATTTTATATTTTACCACCATAATAATCTTAAAAAATTCTTGGCACATAGGCAAAAATGCTGTTTAAACTAAAACCAATGTTTCCTCTTAAAAACTTTCACTGATGACGTTAGCAAGACTGTGTAAGAGCAATATAAAATTACTTATACTTTATTTGTGTTTGCATTCTGTGTGCATGCATATTTGTGTTTTTGTAATTATGGTGACTTTTAGAGTTTGCAGAGGAAATTTTTTATTATAATATGTAAACACTTTTTCCAAACTTCACTGTGAGTGTTAAAAAGGTTTATAAGAGAGCAAATTCAGTATAGTAAAGTACTGAATACATGCTCCAGAACAGCATTTGATGTTAAAGACTTTGTGTGTCTACTTCATCATGATTCTGTGTCCTTCAAATATATTTCTGTCCACATCAGCAGTTTTTGCAGACCACCAAGATGGTTCAGGAAAATTACAGCACAATCACTGAGCTGGTCCTTCTTGGATTTTCCAATCACCCACAGGCTGAAGCCCCTCTCTTCTTTCTCTTCTCTCTGGTTTACCTGGTCAATCTCTTTGGAAACACAGCAATTATTTTTTTGGTAGTAACTGATTCCTGTCTCCAGACACCCATGTATTTTTTCCTCTGTCACTTGGCCTTTCTGAATATATTTTACACCACAGCTGTGATCCCCAAGATGCTCTTCAACCTCCTTGCCTCCAAGAAAGTCATCTCTTACAAATTTTGCCTTGCCCAAACCTACATCTCCCTGTTCATGGGAGCGGCTGAGTGCATTATTCTGGCAGTCATGGCTCTGGATCGTTACGTGGCCATTTGTTACCCTCTGCGGTACCTGCTCATCATGAACTGGGCTGTGTGTGTACAGCTAGCTGTGGGGGCCTGGGGCATCAGCTTCTTTGCCTCTGTGGTGCCCCTTTGTGTCACATTACCTCCCTTCTGTGGCCCTTACATTATTGATCACATTTTTTGTGAAGTACCTGTTCTTCTTCACATGGTCTGTGGTGATACATCCCTGAAGGAGGTCATGATGGTGATAGGAGCATCAGGTACCCTCTTACTACCCTTTCTCCTCATTATCCTCTCTTACCTGCACATACTGATTGCCGTGATGAGGATGAACTCAGCTGAGGGTAGGAAAAAAGCTTTCGCTACCTGTAGCTCTCACCTGATTGTGGTGACTATTTATTATGGGACAGGGATGTTCATGTACATGAGGCCCAAATCCTTATATTCAGCTGAGGGTGATAAATTGATTTCCTTGTTCTATGCAGTCATAAATCCTGCTCTAAATCCTCTCATTTATAGCCTGAGAAACACGGAGGTGAAAAGAGCCTGGAGGCGAGTCTTAGAGAGATAGACAGTGTCCCAAAGAGAGAAGATGCTATCTTGAGTGGTCAGAATTTGCTTATCCAAATGTACTCTTCAAGGCTAATGGAATATCTATGTTGTATGCTTTATTTAATTAGCTACAAATACATGTAAAACCATGTAAAAATTATTACAAATATATTTGGTCATTTTCCTCTGACTGCACTTTACTGTAAGCACCTTTTCATGATTGTTACTGGATTATACCCAGGTATTGGATATTTCTACAATCAGAAAATTAATTCAGGCAGGGCATGGTAGCTCACGCCTGTAATCCTAGCACTCTGGGAGGCTGAGGCAGGTGGATTTCTTGAGCTCAAGACTTCGAGACCAACCTGAGCAAGAGTGAGACCCCCTTCTCTACTAAAAATGAAAAACTGAGACAAAAGGATCTTTTGAGCCCAAGACTTTGAGGTTGCTGTGAACTATGACAACATAGCACTCTCCTAAGAGTGACAAGGTGAGACTCTGTCTCAAAAAAATAATGATAAAATAAAATATGTAAGTCATGTGAAATTATAAAGTCAGAAAACTTGCCTTGAAATTTTAGTTCATTTCTTCATTAAATGAAATATTATTATTGTTAGGATTAATTTTCTTTTTTAAAACAATTTATCATTATTACCATTTTATTATTTTATTTTTTAAATTTTTATTTTATTATTCATTTCCCCTGTAATAATGAAATCTCTTATTTTTTATTGATCAGATGTCATTGAATCCTCTATATGTCTATTTAAAACACCTCTTTCACTAATGGCATAGATTCTTGCTATAACTTTGTAAACAGAATCAAATCTAATAAATTATTATGTTTCAGAGAAAAAGACTTTGTGACTCTCAATTTTTGGATGTTTTACAGATATTATGTAATATGATTCAACTTTCTAACTCAAAGCTGATATATCCTGATACTTTTGTCAAATGCGATGTTTTCAAAATATTACTACACTCTCTCAAGTCTGTGCATTTGATCAATTAATGCTTTCCTCAGGCAAGTAATAATATATGTATTGCAAGCCTCAACTCAGTTATCACTTTCTTCATGACATATTTCCCTGAAAACTAACCCTTTTTATGTTTCTGTGAATTATTCCTTCTTTGATGTATAAAGATAAACTTTAAATTAGTTCTTTGCAAGATTTATTTTATTAAACTTAAACATTTTTTACAATCATAAAATTTATTTGGACCATAAAATTTATTTGGACATTGACTTCCTCAGAGACCTAAAAAATTAACCCTAGAGAAAGTGTGTGCACTGACTTCTAACTGCAGTGCTGGGAAATAAAGCCTAGCAAAGTGTAGGGCTATAAGGCAAGCCCTCTTTTGAAAGATTATTTAAGTGTAGTCATAAAGAAGGAGGAAAACCCACCTGGTATACATGTCAAAAGATAACGTTCAGGAGATGCAGGCTGAGCCTGTGGCTCATGCCTGTAATCCCAACACTCTAAGAGGCCAAGGTGGGAGGATTGCTTGAGGTCAGGAGTTCAAGGCCAGCCTATGCAACTTGGTGAGATACCATCTTTTTAAAATATAAAACATTAGCTAGGCATGATGGCATGTTCCTAGGGTCCTAGCTACTGGGGAGGTTGAGGCAGGAAAGATCACTTGAGGCTGGAAGTTTTAAGTTGCAGTAGGCTGTTACCACTACACTCTAACCCAGGTAACAGAACAAGACTCTGTCTCAAAAACAAAATGAAACAAGCAGAAACAAATGGAGATTCAAAGTGAGAAAAAAATAGCACCAAGAATTCAGTGAAAAATAGTTCAATGTATCTTCTGAACTCTACACCGTCCTCAAGTCTTGTCTGCATTTTTCTTTTCGCTCTTAACAAACAGAACAGATCTGCACATTTTTCTTCTGTTTTCCATTAATGAAAAGTTCCTTGTGCATTCTTTGTTTTTTAAATTGAACTGGACAATTTTTTATCTAATTTAATAATATGTAATAGATTTTTCTTATCTTATTTTTAATGACATTTCTCATCATTTTACATGTTTATCTTTTTTTTTTAACTTAGCCAAAATTACACTACATGTGTCTTTGTTTATTTGCTTCAAAGAGATGAAGTTTTACTTTGTTTCTCAGAGTGGAGTGTGCAGTGTCATGATCACAGCTCACTGCATCCTCAAACTCCTATACTCAAGCAATCCTCCAACCTCAGATCCTTGAGTAGCTAAGAATGTAGATGCATGCCATCATACCTGGCTAATTTATTGTGTCTTATTTTTCATAGAGACAGGGACTCACTATGTTGGCTAAGCTGGACTCAAACTTATGGCCTCAAGAAATCCTTTATTTTTTATAAGGAGAGTGTGGTGATGTTTGATAAATATCACAGTTCAGGGTTAGACCATCAGGTACTACATTATGTAATTTATTTAACCTCATTTTTTGCATATGTAATTTTTTTGAAAAAGAAAACATTTAACATAAAGTTAACATGATTGCAAAAGTTAGGCTTTCTTTGCAAAACTTTGTAATAGATCATTAGCAAATCAAAGTTTGATCTCCATAATGCTGAATTTTTCAAAGCATTGTTCTTGTATCATAAACCAATATGCTATATATAAACATTTTTTCATCAACTACAGTATCATTATCAATTTTTCAACTCAAAGACGTTGAAACATCCCTATCTTTATGTGGTTGTGGTGAGTTTGTTGTATTTGCAATGCACTGCTTATCTGGTAGTTTCTAGCTATTGACATTATTTCTTTCTAGTGCAGAATCTGATTCCATGGGACACTGGCAAGTAGCCAACTAGCTGAAAACCTGGGAATAAAATAAACTGTTCTATGGCCCATCTCTTTTACTTTGGAGAAAGCTCCTGGGAATGTATTATTAGAACTCAAACTTTTAACAAGCAAAATCTCCTCTGGGAGCAAATGCTGATAATGGGGTGAGGTCTGAGTAGTGTGCAAAAGTTGCTCCTTATGAGGCTCATTATATTAAGGATCAAAAATGATGCTTATGCATTTAAAAGAACACCAGGAGTAACTTTCCACAAAACCAATCCTCTAGCTTTTTGATCCCCTCAACACCATATACATTCACCCTTACATGTGTATGTGTGAGTATATGCACATTGTTTGCTGTCCAAATACCTTTTCAATATCTCTACCCGTTTTTTTTTTTCAGTTTTTGGCTGGGGCCAGGTTTGAACCCACCACCTCTGGTATATAGGGCAGCACCCTACTCCTTTGAGCCACAGGTACCACCCAGTCTCTACTCTATTCTTATGCTGTTTTCCTCCTATAGAATTTCTTCTTTCCCACTTCCTTCACAAATTAAGGTGATCTCATATTTTTAACATGCTCCGAAATTGCCATGGAGTCTTAGATCCAAATATTGTTCTCCCTGACAATTATTAGTGTTCCCTCCTGCATCTGGCATTTAAGAGTTCTTTGCCAAAGTCTTTTATGGCTTACATTTTTTAGTCTTTATATGGTAAATATATTAAGCAATCTGAACAGTAAGATTCATCTCTATGCCATCATCATTAGTGACTGAAAAAATGAATGTATTTTAAATATGACTAGGTACTGGAATGTAGGTTTGTAATGTAAAATCACAGAAAAAAGCAAAGGATAAAAGTGGATATAATGATCAATGCTGAAATTGACATACATCCATATAGAAATACTAATTGTAACTACCACAAAATAAAAGGGTTTTTATTTTCAATTTATGGGTAAATCTTTCTTCAAGGTTGTATTTCATGCATCTTTGTTATTTTTTCAAATTAATTTTTTTAAAGGATTTGTTACATTCAGAGTGAAGTTAGTGTGGGAATTGTGTGCAAACTGACCCTTGTTATTATCACAGTGATTATTCAACACTGGGGTGGGCACTGTACTTAGTACCACATAATTTTAGGTTTGGCCCTTTCCCTTAAATACAGTACATTTTATTTGAATAGGTAAAAGTAGCACACATGGAAACAAACCTACATGACAGCACAAAATAATGGCTACATCACAGGGTTCTGATACTGGAAACAGAAAATCAGAATGGGTTGGCTGCAGTAAGGTAGCCACAAACTCACTTTCAGGATGCTTCTATTATGTTACACTTCAGAGTAGAGAAAAACATGGAATGAGTCAAGAAGACAAGTGTCTTTCAGTGGAGATGGAATCTGAGAAAATTTTCATTCATCTATGAATATGATTTTTAAAATTAGAAGGATTTTAGTCTTTTCAAGGTGAATGAATGGATTTGGGTAGAGAGATAGGTGCCAGTGCTGCTTTCTTCTGCTTTTTGTTTTTTTTTTAATACCTTCCTTTTGGAAGAAATAAAAAAAATTCTCTCAGAGTACTTTTTCTTGTTATCATTTCTCTGCTATTCATGCACAGGGTGTGTTTCCCTTCTCAAATATTTCTCACTGGGAGTCAACCGTAACTTCATAATATCTGTTTATAATACTAATTTGAGGATAGGCTATCATTAAATCTCTTTGCCATATGCCCTTAATGATTTTCTGTCCCCAAATTCTGAAGTCTTTATCAATGAGATGTCACCAATACAGAGTGTGAAAATTTCATTTATAATACTCTTCATTAGAATAATGCTGGCTTGGCGCCCATAGCTCAGTGAGTAGGCTGGTGGATTCAAACACAGCCTGGTCATGCCAAACAACAATAACAACTACAATGAAAAAATAGCCAGACTTTGTGGTGGGCACATGCAGTCCTAGCTACTTGGGAGGCTGAGCCAAGAGAATCGCTTAAATCCAAGAGTTTGAGGTTGCCATAAGCTGTGACAACATGGCACTCTACCAAGGGTGACATAATGAGATTCTGTCAAAAAAAAAACAAAAAACAAAAACACAAAAGTAAACTATTGGAACAGGTACTATAAACAAGATCTTACTTTCACATAGACTAATACCAAAGTATTTACAAATTAGACATCTCAAAATCAGAGCTGGTGCCATCTGGGAATAAAAAAAGAAAACTATCTCTGAGAGCATAAGAAATGCAAGA